ACTCACTAGAAATGATTAAATGATTGTTATGCACAAATCCACCTTGATTCCTAAATAACTACCAAATGACCTTAAAGAAATAGAAAAACATATAAATTTAACATTTGTATATATTGAGTTTAAAATACTTAAAATAAAATTCATTCTTGCTCTACCTTCAAACTGTATCTCCATCCTGAATTTCCAGTTTTTATTACAGTTACCGTTACTCTATAAGTTATGTAATTAGACATCGTGTATTTATATTTATTGCCTAGATTGAAATATGATATATGTATATATATATAATCAACATGAAATGTTTATGCAATAAATAATACCCAACATTGCAAAAACATAGTGTGAACAAATAACTAGGAAAAACTTACCAGAAGCAACATTCAGTATTGAAAATTACAAGGTTAGCAAAGTTTGTCTCTGACACAACTACTAATATCACTTTTATAGCAATGATTCCTCATTTTTTCTGACCCAAAAGGCATTGGGAAAACATTTTTCAACTTCTAATGGCTCACTCTGTCCACAGTTCTCAGGCAAAGAGAGTAGAAAGATCCAGTATTGAGTACCTTAAAATTTCTGGGATGTGTGATATTAAAATTTGTACTTTATCTTTTGAAAATACTGCTTTATTCGACCCACTGCAATGAAAAGTTGACTCGTTATAAAGACTTTTGAGCAGATAAGCAAATTGATTCATAGCAGTTATTAGTGAATTATAAGTATTGCACATACTGGTTAAAATTAAAGCTCTATCTTTCAATTATGGGTTGTAAACATAAATGCATTCAAATCAAATATCTTTGAAATCTATTACAATGAATTATGCACATGGCAACAAATTAACATATTAAGGGGGTTAAAATGGGGGTACTGGAGGAGTTTTGGAGGCTTGTATTCAGGCTTGTTTATTGAATCATTTTTAATTAGTGGACAGTAAAGTAACTCAGAGAGGCCTAATTATTGTTCACTCAGTGACTCCAAAGGCATTAAAACAGATAACTCAAAAGAACACTTGGAGTTTGGTTTCATATTAGTTAATTTTATACTGCATCCAAAGTCATTGAGTTACATTTGCATATAATCTGATTTATAATAAATTCATGACACAGATGGTACTGATGGCTATAAATAGTTGGGATTTCATGTATTTCTAAAAATTTAATAGCAAATGATTGCTCTCCAGTGCAATAAAAGAATTATATGTCAGATCAGATATATCAAGAAAAAGGAAATTCCTTTCATAGTGAAAGATAAAACTCTTCAAATTAGAATTATATTTTTGAGCTGGGTGCTATTCACTAAATAAATAATGTTGTAATCTACCTAACAGAAACATCTATTTCAACACAATATCCTTTTGGAATTCTCAGTTTCCATTAGATACAGAATGTATAATGGTTTTTTTAATGCATGATTGTTTGGGTTTGTTTTTGTTTTTGTTTCTGTTTTTGTTTTTGTTTTTTGAAACAGGGTCTCACTATGTAGTTGAGACTGACCTGAACTCACTATGTAGCCCAGGCTGGTCTCGAACTCAAAATGATCCTCCTGCCTCAGCCTCCCAAATGCTGGGATTACAGGCATGTGCCACTATGCCCGGCTCAATAGCAGCCATTCTTTGTGGGGTGAGGTGGAATCTCAGTGTTGTTTTCATCTGCATCTCTTGAATGACCAAAAATCACCAAAAGATTTCTAGACTTAATTGACACTTTTAGCAGAGTAGCTGGATACAAGGTCAACACCCAAAAATCAATAGCCTTCTTGTACACAAATAACAGATTCACTGAGAGAGAAATTAGGGGAACAATTCCTTTCACAATAGCATCCAAAAAAATGAAGTATCTAGGAATCAATCTTACAAAAGAAGGAAAAGACCTCTACACTGAAAATTACAGCACTCTGAAAAAAGAGATCAAAGAGGATGTAAGAAAATGGGAAGATATCCCCTGCTCCTGGGTAGGAAGAATCAACATAGTGAAAATGGCCATACTTCCAAAACTGCTATACAGATTCAATGCAATGCCAATTGAAATTCCAACACTATACTTCAGAGAACTAGAAAGAAGAATCCAAAAATTCATTTGGAACCATAAGAGACCTAGAACAGCAAAAGCCATCCTAGGCAACAGAGACATGGTAGTGGGTATAACAATTCCCAATTTGAAACTATACTACAAAGCCACTGTGATAAAAATGGCATGGTACTGGCAAAGAAACAGACCTGAGGATCAGTGGAACAGATTGGAAGACACAAAAACAAATGCAGATGTACTCAGCTACCTCATCTTTGACAAAGGAGCTGACCATCCTCAGTGGAGGAAAGATAGCCTCTTTAATAAATGGTGTTGGAAAAACTGGATCTCAACCTGCCAAAGATTAAAATTAGACCCTTATTTCTCACCATGTACTAAATTAAAATCCAATTGGATTAAAGATATAAATATTAAAACAGAAACACTAAACTTGCTGGAAGATAAGTTAGGCAACTCTTGAATAGCTAGCAGAAAGAATCAACTGGGATCTCATCTTATTAAAAAGCTTCTGCACTGCAAAAGAAACCATCAACAGAACTAAGAGACAATGTACAATGTGGGAAAACATTTTTACCAGCTGCTCCTCAAACAAAGGACTATTATCTAGAATATATAAAGAACTCAAAACAATCAGCCTCCCAAATATAAAGACCTGATTCAAAAATGGGCATCTGAAATGAACAGACATTTCTCAGACAAAGAAGTAAAAGCAGCAAGTAAATATATAAAAAAATGTTCCACATCACTGGTCATTCGAGAGATGCAGATAAAATTGTTTTTAAGTAAGGAGTAATTTAATAAGTTGAATTTTAAATGAGTCAAAGAAGGAAAATAGTGTAAACTAGGGAACTACTTTTGAGATATCTGTGAGGATTTTTAATGATTTGGGAATTACTGACAGATTTAACTTGCTAATAACATTTAAGCAGATTCTTGTATTCTACAGGGTTTTAGTGGGAAGAGGGATGCAATTTGATGCTTGGTATGCTGGGGATAGATTATACTTACAAACCAGCAAACCAAAGCAACTTACAGTGCATGATTAATTTTTTTTCCCTTTTGGCTTACTTTTTTAAAAACGTACGAAAGATATAATTAACCCTATGGTAATTTCACAAAAATATTGTTGTCTTTGTATTTGCTGGTTTCAATCTTTTCTCTTTCTCATAAAACATTATGTTCACAAAGCCAGGGTCTGTTTTCCTCATATTCTATTCCACTAGTAATGTGCCTTCATCCTTCTTCTTTTGATTTCTCAGCCTTCTTTTCTTTTTTATTTTGTTTTTGTTTTTTGAGACAGGGTCTCACTATGTAGTTGAGACTGACCTGGAACTCACTATGTAGCCCAGGCTGGTCTCGAACTCACAGTGAGCCTCCTGCCTCAGCCTCCCAAGTGCTGGGGTTACAGGTGTGAGCCACCATGCCTGGCTTCTCAGCCTTCTTTGCTTTTCTCAGTTCTCACTCCTCTTCTCACTTCTTGTATTACATCAGCGTCCACAAAGATGGATTAGGTCATTTATCAAATAAAGCTTTCTTTATGTCATTCAGCTCATTTTTTTAGTATACTGAAACTAAAAAGTTGTTATGATTTTGTCTTTTAACATCCAGTTGTGGGGAATGAAGCACTTGTCCTACATGTCTAAGGACTCGGTTCCAGCCCCAGTGCCACAAAAAGACAGAGATAAATCCAGATGGACTCATACTTTATTAATGAAAAGTTTGTGTCATGAGAATGCAAACCTAGACACATCATAAAGCCAAGCATTAATTTTGAATTTTCAGCTCCCAATTTCTGTTTCAAACTGTTTTCATTTTGACAATAGATCTGAACTAAGCTTTCTAGTTTACTGATGATCAGCCTGCATTGTTAGAATTGAATTATAGACCATTTGATTCCCCGTATCTGTAGCTGCTGTTTCTCGGGACCCAAAAATCCGTGGGGTCTCTCCATGAGGAAAGATCGATGAGGCTGAGAATCCCTGCCTTGCTTTGATTTCTGAGAACAGGCTGGTCTTGTGGGGCCCACACTATCTCAGCCAGAGTAGTTCTGATACTGAAGGTAAAGGAGGCAATCGTGGAATTCTCAGCATCCCAGCAGGAACAAACTGCCTTCCTTCTGATATTCCTCTCCTCCATTATTCCCTGGCCCAGCCTGGGCCAAATGCAGTTTCTGAACAAATACAGTAGTTTGCCTATGCAACTCTTGAGGACATTTTGATCCCACTGTAGCTCTGTGAATCTTACTAACCAACTGTAGGATCCCCACCTACGGTCATATTATCAGTGATCCACAGGTCACAGCACATGAGAGAACAAAATAAAAGCTGGAAATTTTACAGCATTCTCTGATGGATACTCTTGCTAAATGCATGTTGTTATCCATGTACTCAAAATGCCTACTGACAAAAAAGTGAAAAATGTCCTGAAACCATAACTGGTTTATATTTAGTGAGCCATTAGAATGAACATGGGCAAGGAAAATTATTTTGTTCTATTTTTAAATTTAAACAAAGCTTGGTCTTGAAATATTTAAGCAACAGAATCGGTATTAGTAGAAATATCCTGTGAAGTAATTTTTACTGAGGTAGAATTTATTCAAGTCATATCTTCAGGAAGTAGATACAGCCAACAATACGCAAAAAAAGATAGAAAAGCCAAATGAGTCCTTGATGTCTCCTTGAAAGTCCATGATCTCTACATCTGTTTCTTTTATCACCAGGTGACGTTAATCTTCTATTTATGTTACTACTGTAAATCTAAGTACATGTTGTTTACTCCGAGATTGCCCTCTAAACTTTGGTCTGTAGCTGCTCTTCACAAAAAAGTAGAGGGGAAAAAAATGTGTGATGTGGGTGCATGCCTCTGTGTGTGTGTCCCGTTGGTGGTAATTTTAGTGGTTTTACAGCAAGTAGTGACTTCCTCTTTGAACAGTTGCCTTTGCCTCTCATACAAGATTTCATTTTGTTTGAGACTGGATACAGTGGAAACCAAACCACACACACGAAGAAAGGGTGTGATGGCAAAGAAGCCCCCAAAACCAGCCCCTCGCAGGATTTTCCAAGAAAGATTAAAGATGACTGCTCTACCTTTGTACTTTGAAGGCTTTTTATTAGTCAAGCGATCAGAATACCACGTAAGTCTATAAATAATAATATTAAATCTGATAGCCTTATAAAATTTAGGATGATGTGATACAATGAAGCCTCTTTTTTTCCATTTGAATTATGACCTTTACTTGCTATCAGAAAATATATTTAATTTTGTATAATTTAAATATAACATGGGTATCATGCATATATTTTATATATGTAATTTAATTTTCTAATATTAAGCCACTGATGTAAAAATTCATTTAGCTAAATTTTTGAAGAATTCATTTAACCATTACAAAAGATTTTGGCTTAGAAGATAAAATATTTCTTATACTTTCTCCATAATTTACTATTTCTCCTCCATGATGATGTGTATCACTAAGATAAAATACTATAATTAAAATTAAAACTACCCAGTTACATTAAAGTTTCCAATGATCATATTATAAAGTATAAATTTCTATTAAAGCTGTGAAAATTATAAAATTGATGCTTAAAATTGACTCTTTAGTTAGAGAGTCTAAAAACACTGCTCAAGATAGTGACATTAAAAGATAATAGGGTGAGAAAGAAAAAAATATAATAGGGTGCTATTGTGGGTAGTCGGGACACTAAACTACAAAAATACATTTGCACTAGGAAAATTCACAGAGCACTTTATATTTTTAAATGTAATAATTAAAACCAACAGTTAATTAAAATCATGACTTTAATAAGTAAATGTGAATAACTCAAAATTAATAAATATGTTACTAAAGAAAAGTCATTAAATTAAGTAAAATGTTATGAAATTTTAACACTGAGTGAAGTAGAAAATTTTCAATGTTTTCAGAAATGACATAATAACTGTTTAATGATGATAATAAAATGCATTTCATGAGAATTTATTGATACTTTGGAAAATAATGTATATGAAAATAATTATAAAAAGACATTTATATTTCCTGCATATATGATCTGACCATTTACTGCTTGAGACTAAAATCATGGTATCCTGTTACAGGTGCATAACATGTATTAGTAATATTTGTCAGTCATACTGGAATTTGTTTTGGTTGATCTCCTGTATCACCACAGGTTATCTACATTGTTACCCATTACCAGGAAAAGGAAATAGCAAAAAAGATATGTTTGATTTGTAATTTCAATTTGGTTATTTATTTAATATCTCAACAATAGTATAACTTTTCTGATAGCAATTATTTTTTATGTTTAAAGAAGACATATCATTAGTATGGTTAGCAGAAAGAGTAGGAAGCTTAGAGTGTCAATAAAACATGCCTTTACCTAATGGTTTTGTCACTTACAGATTGTGATCTGGTACAAATTAATCTCCTTTACACTCAGTTTCCTCAACTATAAAAAGGAGAGAATGCGCACTACTTGCCTTTAATGAAATGTATTATTATATACAATGTTTTATCTATTATGTCTAGGACAAGTAGGTACTGGATTAATTCATTCATACAACTTTTATTGTGTTTCTTTGATGCACCAAGCATCAAAAATTTTTCATTTCCTAAAAATATAAATAAAGCCCAAAGAACTTTACTTCAAGAAGTTTAGCTTGGTAATGATTCTGATTTCTTATTTAATTGCTATTGTTTTCTTCTTTCTAAGAAAAACGTACTTTGAAAGAGAACTAGTGAAATGTAGATACAAATATTTATGTTGGGGATGGAGATATAGATCCGTGGCATAATACTTGCCTAACATTTGTGAGGCACCAGGTTTGATCCCCAGCACCAAAAGTACACACTCGCACACACGTTATTTTTCTGATGCAGTTAAGTTATTCTTCCATTCATAGCAAAGTATCTCTTCCTTGTACGTCCAGGTGGAGAGTAAGAGGACAACAATAATGTTTACTTTCTAGCATGGTTTCAAGGATTAAACAGAGAACATATGTAAAATATCTGGCTCACACTAAAGAGTCCTCCCATTTAATTATTTTATGGTATTTCTGTTAACATCCTAAAGCCAATTTAGAGTCCACAAGTAAAACAGCTCAAAGAAGAGCAATGGTGAATGGTGACATCGCTTGAAAATAAAGGCTATGAGAAAAAGCTAAGGAAAACGAGTGGGATTTCCACGCAACTAAAAGTGCCAGGAAACCTTTGGGAGGAGGATGACCTAAGAGTGTTATAGCCAGATCATCTTCTGACCTAATAAGATAGAGACATTGAAAGGCCCTGAAAATTGTTAAGTGGAGACTCTGCTGAGGGTATTTGGAATATGTTAGCTGGAGAAAATATTAACTGAGGAACAATGTGACCGATAAAAGGATTACATGTTGAAAGGCCAGTCTTAGAAGCTTTTGTGTTGGGATGTCGCGGAACATTTTAAAGAATTTAAGGAGCTTTCCCCCAGGAAAATGCACCATCAAACACTATTTTGCATACAATTCCAGAAAGGCTCTGGATCTCAATCAAGAATCCATGTATAGTACTTAATCTTCATAGAAAAGATAGTGTGGAAAGATTTACTTAAACTGCAGCATTAGGATTCTGGGTTTACCAAGAAATCTTATTTGTCAATAAAAGTATAAAATGTCACAATGGGATACTAACGTTGTCATGTTTTTACAAATGGGGAAAATTCTAATTTTTCTGGAACTGTATAACAGTAAGAGAATTTTGGCAACAACTCATAGTTCCTCCAAATTGTGATGTGCTAAGTGTGTAATATGTCTTATTGACTCGAACATAAGATGTAATCACTGTAATGATATTAAAATTACATTTCCCTGAATAGCCCTCTACTTGCCTCTGTATCACTTAGGAAAGTTTTAAGACTTTCTCACTTGTGCTATCACACAGTTCTCTATGCCAGAAGTCTATGAATTTTTTAAATTTTAATTTTATTGGTACAATTTAGATATACATAATGACCACATTCGTCATAGGGAATTTGTATCTGTGCATGATGTATATTGATTCCTCTTTGGAAAAAGAAAAAATGGAAATGGGGCTTTTGTAAATAGAGAGGGGAAGAAGTAAGTTTTGAAGGGAGGAAAAGGAAATGGTAATTTTTAAAATAACACACTTCTTTCAAAAAACCACTTTGACCACAGGTCTCTAATGCCAGTTTATTTAAAAATTATATACATATTATATATATATATATATATATATATATACTGTACTAAAACTC